TAAACATGCTCATCAAAACTTACAGAACAGAGCATAAATAATAATAATAATAAAAGCTCTTTTAACTGTGCTGTGTCTGAACTCATTTAAATTCAGACATAATAATACCAATATTGTAAATTACCTTTTAATAGTTAGCTTAATTCTTCCGTAAAGTGAAAATGACACAAAATTATTAACATATATAATTATGGTATAGGCCTGTTGAGTTATCAAACTGACAATAATAACCTAATAATACAATTTCCCATTACCATATACTCCTAAAATTAGCTATAGCGTCTTTTTTTAAATTGTTGTGAATTAAAATACTTTAACCTCATTTATAATAAACCGTAATGAATACTGTAGTATGCTTTACTTTTTACTTTAGTAAACTGTGGTGTATTGTAGTACAATAAGAAAACTAGTATTGGTTAATTTGTTTAGCCTGTAGCTGCCGTTAGCATAGCAAGAATTGCCACAACGGATTAATTTCTTGTATAGTTCAAAAACACTTATAATTAACTACCATAGTATTTTTATGTGGGTTGTGACCATAGTTAGTTTGGTTACATAATGTAATTCTAAGCAAACTAAGGTTTAACAAGAGTTAATTCAGCCTCTTACGGAAAAACCCCTTGATCAGAAATAATAGCAAAGGCCTAAACCTTAAAAACAAAACTAGCTTTCAAAAAGCTTTGCAAAAGCCACATGAGTAAACATAGGCTTCGCTCTAATTCTCATAAACACAGACGTGGGGTTCAGAAGTGTAGTTTCACATTTAACCTCAACTGAGACTATCATATCATTGATGATAATAATATAAACCATGTACGCTGGTCTAAAACTGAACTATTGGCTCTGTGATTATTTTGAACGCTCTCTTGCTGATTAACTATAGTTTGTTTCCTTTACATGTCGGGCCAACTTGTGTATGGCTGTTCTCAACCGTTATAAAACTGAGAAAAAATTAACAATTAATGCGTAGAATATCCTGATATCTTTATGCCTTGCAGTTTCTTTATATATTATAGTATATTATTTTTAAATTTTATAATTTTATTTTATTTATAATTATATTATATATTATATTATATTTGGCATTTATATACTGATCAACAGAGAGATTATTTGAACACATTTCCAAACAGTTTTAATAACTGTTTTATTTTGTTTTTGCCATGATGACAGAACATAATAGCATATTTGACTAGGCATTGTGCAAGATACTATTCAACTTAAAATGCAGTTTAAAAGCTTAACTTGGTTGAATATGTTAACTAAGTTAGTTAATTAGACAAGACATTGGACAACAGCTCAAAATATACCTATTTATTATATATTTTAATTATTTAGCCAAGCTATGAAAGAAAAAAAAATCTTTCTACACTAAAAACTCTAATGTGTTGACTGAATGAAATTTACTGAGTAAACTCGTTGCCTCAAATTAACTGAGTAACAGAGCCTCCCAAAACGTGTATATTTAAGTTAATTTAACTTGCCGATTTGGTAGATTATACTTAAATTGTTCAGTTCAATCTGTGTGTCCCTGTGTGTAATTATATACACAGTTTAAAAGAAACATTTAAAAAAACGTTTAAAAGAAAAATAAAGTTGCCATTTATTCCCATTATGGTGAATAATTATACATGAAGCCTTGTTTTCTGATTAAAAAAAAACCTTGTACTAAAAGGTTGCACATATTACAATTTTACAGACATTCTACATTAAAAACGACCTGTTTTTTTTTTCAAAGGATTAATTGTGATTTTGCTCGCTATACTTAAAATCTTAAGTTTATGCAGTTTCATAGTAAATAAGTTAAATTAACTAGTGACAGGACCAAAACGCTACATTTAAAGTAATGTTCAGTCAACTTTACGTGATTGTTTACGTAAAGACAACATTAGCGTTTACCGTGTACAATACTGAAAATACTGTGAAATGTTTGCTCAAATATCTGCTTAGCATCACTTGGAAAAATTTTGAAAAAGAACATACATTTTACAGGAGGGTGAATAATTAAGTACACTGTAAAACTCAAAAAGTTAAGGTAACTCAAACCAGTTGAGGAAACCGATTGCAACAAACCATTTAAGTTCAAAAACTAATCCTAATGAGTACTGTAAACTTACTTCATTTGAGTAAGCGAAGGAATTTGAGCACAGTAAAACCTGATAAATGAAAAGAAGTCAATCGAACTGATTACTGTAAAACCCAATAAGTTAAGGCAACTCAAACATTTTAAGAAAACCGATTGCGTCAAATCATTTGAGTTAATGATCAGATGTGCTCCAACATTAGGCACATTCAAATTGAGACTGAAAACACACCTGTTTAGCTGTGCCTGTACTGAATGAGCACTGTGCTATATAACTAACAGATCATATTGCTTTTCTTTTTCTATTTCATTCTTTTATAACCTGTTTTAACTCATTTTAATCTGTTTTTATTAATTTAATTGTTTGTTTTTATGTTCTTAAACTTGTCTTTTTATTCTTGTTTATGTAAAGCACTTTGAATTGCCACTGTGTATGAAATGTGCTATATAAATAAACTTGCCTTAAAAAACTAATCTATATGAGTAATGTGAACTTACTCAATTTAAGTTAAAGTAATGAGGTATTAAATTAACTCTTTAAACACTGAGTTTAAAACTCTTTTTAAATGAATAGAAGTAACTTTCAGTCAATTTTGAGTTAACTGCACTCATTTCATTTGATAAAGTTGACTGTTGGGTTTTACAGTGTATTAGTAATTATTAGATATGAATAAGAAGTGAGATAAAGCTGAGCAAACTTAAATTCAACTTAAGATAAAGAGCTGAGCGATAGTTACATTTTGCAAAAAAAATTAACTGTTTGTTCTTGTTCAAACTACTTATTTAAAACGAGTTGAAACAACACAATTCTTATGCTTTTTGGGGACAACTTAATTGTTTTAAGTTCGATCAACTTAAATTTGTAAGAAACTAAGTTAACTTAATTTGTGTTGATATCGAGAAAACATGAAGGAATTGCAACATGGGCTCAAAGTAAAAGCAGACCTATGTACGTTTCTGGAGATCACAAGTTATGAAGCCAGAGGTACGTATGGCTGCATTTCATTTTTAAAATGAACGCTTTGGTGCGGTATGACGCCGTCCCTTTTCACACTATCCAGCTGACTGCTTATGGATGGCTTTCCTGCTGTTACCAATTTATCCCGTTAGCTCGCCATGTACGTCTGCGGACTTGAGACGCAGAGAGGAGTTGACCACGACAAGGAGGTTCAAGTCCGGTGATGAACAGCTCCAGAAAGCAGGTAAGACAAAAACCGAAGCCAAAAAATAAAATAAACAAGTAAATAACAGGGTGAGAATGTGGTAAAATCTGAAAACGTGGTAAAAATCAGACAAGAGCTTTTCTTTTTCTGGACTGCTTTGAAAATTGTTGGTTGGGTTTAGGGAGGTGGGTGGGCACTGGTCAATCAATACAATTGGTTGGGTTTAGGGAAGGAGGAAGGTATAGGTCAGTCGATCGGTTGGTCAGTCAGTGGATTTACATGAGAACAGCCGGTACGAATAGCGCTCGCAAGAGAAATTTGAGATCTCAAAAGCGTACACAGCGGCTGCTGGTGGATTCACGAAAACTGAAAAAAAAAAACATGGCTCCTTTTATGTATTTCACAGTCTACAGAAATGTATATAAAGGTACATTTTCAGAATGAGCCTGGGTTGAGGAATTGTGTGGAACCCAGCAGTTTTGCAGTGTACACTCAAAAGACACCTTATTTAAAATGGGTTGAAACAACACAAGTTTTTACAACTTAATTATTTAATGTTCAATGCACAAACTTAATTCCCTTATGTTGTCCCAACACAAATCGATTATATGTAACACAGCATTTTTTACAGTGAAATATAGCATCAATAGCAGGAAAAAAAAAGTTGGAAACACTACAATACTACAATACTATTTAACTTAATAAAGAGCCACGCACACCGCCAATTCATCAGTGTTAATTTTTCAGTTATAAAGCATTTCAGAGTAAAGTGTTGACATTATAGAGTTATATTTTGATAAACTAACACAATGAAGTTGATTTGACCCGGTGTAAAATCATGGAGTTACAGCTAACCAACACTCAATGGTGTTATTTTTAACATCCAGGAACACTGAACCAAAAATCTAAATGGAACATAAAGGTCGTGCCATTTTAAGATCTTTAAAAGTGTTTAAAAGTGTAAAAAGTGTAAACTTTCTTGTGCTGGCTGCGTCAACATGTTTTGTTGATAAAAATAATTAATAACATAATTGTATTTGTATATTTCAAGATCAGTATTGGTATATAATATGATATCACTACTTTTTAACTATCAATCATGAGTAGTGTAATGTTTGCTAGGTAAACTAGAGTTAAAAAATTCAGAGTTAAATTCTCTCTGTTAAAGTGTTGAATTTTCATTCTTTACACTAGTGTCAGGGAGCAATCAACTCCCAATAGTGTAGATCAGAGTTATTTTTGACTTGATACAGTGTAAATATAACTCATGTATAGTGTTGTACAAGTAAGTCTCCTAAGAGTGTTGTTTTAACACTGAAAATATTGTTCACTCATTCTGAGTAGATTTTAACTCGGTTAGAGTTGAAATAACACTGCTATCTTTGTAATGCAATATAGTTAGCTTGAGATACTGTATTTTGTTACCATATAATATGAATTTGAGAAAAATATGTTTCATATGCGTTTGTAATATAAATGAACATAAATAATGTTGGTTGAAGCATGATATAAGAATGATTTTCAGTCTGGAGGCAGTACTAAACTGAGATGATATCTTTTATGAAATGTCAGAGAATCTGCTGATCTGAAATGCGAAAAAGTATGAGTTGATAAAAGAGAAAATCTGAGAACAGATCAGATGACTGATAGACGCATCATCAAAACACTGACTGAAAAAAAAACTGTGTGTGTGTGTGTGTGTGTGTGTGTGTGTGTGTGTGTGTGTGTGTGTGTGTGTGTGTGAGCGCGAGAGAGAGAGAGTAAGAGAGAAAACAACTGAAACTTACTTTTCATGTGAAACCCGAAACAAGAGCAGGTAAATTTTCACTCTTGATTTAAATATATTTAAATAATATTTAGCATTTGATTTCATTCCTTGTGGTTTACATTTTGTTTAAGCCACAAAATACAGAATTTTAACACATGTAATACATGTTTACACTCACACACTGTTAACGATTTTTGTAAATTACCAGTATTTAATTGTAATGAACTCTATTTTACACAGTTCTGCAGTAGTAGTTTAAAGCTGCATTGTGAAAATGACTGTAAATTTTACGGTAATTATACAGTACTATAAATACATATAGAACAATATAAATTGTGCTCTAAATGTACAAATACATTATTTTTCATGTAATTGATTTACAGTAAGTTACTGGCAAACTGTAAGTTATTGTACATTTTACAGGAAATTGTTAACAGCGTATCAAAACTCTTTGTGAAACAGCAGCTATTGAGTTTGACCAGATTACCTGAAAGTTAAAATATAAAGTAAAAAAAAAAAAAAAAGTGGATTCAGCATCAGCGAACTAACTGAAATTGACAGTGTCTCAATGTTTGTGAATTAATGTTTCATAGAAATGTTTAATGCATTCAAAACTAAACGAAATATAGGCTATGGCAATATAGACATCAAATTAATTCTCCATTTTAATTGCTACTTTCTTCATTTGTTTCAGAGTATAGAGAACATGCATCGCTCTGCTTTCATTTTCACATTGGTTTGTTTTTCTGACCTTTTGGTGACTTTCATCACTTTGGGTAAGCCTATACTCACATTGTTATGTATTATACAGCCTATAGTAGTCATTTAGTGTTATCGTGTTTCTTAATATTTTAATATAATTGATTAGTTAATGTACTAAATTACATTGCAAATGTGTGAGACATCCAAACCACAATCCATAACAGGTAATGGGGTGTAGCCTATATGCACAGGGACTTTTTATTGTCAGTCAGACAGCTCAAATGCTTCATGTGAACTGTCATGCCATAATAATCTCACCACATTTAAGATCTGGTTTATTTAAAAATAAATGATCTTCACTGCCTGACATATACAATATAAAAAGGGTCTCAGACCGGACAAGAAGCTCAAATTAAACTTCTTGTTTCATGCCATAATATGGAAATGTATTTTACTACAGTATTTCAATGTAGTTTGCTTGTCGTTTGCTCTTGATGATGCTTTCCTACTGAAAAAAACACAGCTAAAACCAGCCTAGACTGGTTTAAGCTGTGTTTTTATTGTGTTTAAATTGTCTTTCCTCTTATTTTAAACTTAAACATCTAAATTAATACCTAAATCTATTTAACAGATTATATTTGAAATAAATTACATTGTCGATGCTGTAAAAGGAAGCTTATGAAATTGAAATCAGACACCAACATTTTACTGGATGTTTTTCAGAAAAACACTTGCTATGCATAAAGCCCATTAATAAATCAATGACAAATGACACCTATTTGTGGCAAATCAGTTTGTTTAAAATTATGGCAATAAATATAACGAATAAAATATGACTGCAAGTGGATGAGACCGGAAGTCTTGCGCAATCTCGTATTCAAGTCTAAATGGACGCTCTAACGTCAATAAAGGTGTAGCATACGAAATTCAGTGTGGGTTTTAATTCCCTAAATGTCGTCTATAAATGTGTCCAGGTAATCAGTACAGTCTGCAGTGTCTCAGTAATTATTTATCCAACATCAGCTGCTCTCTGAATATCTCGGATGAGTTTCTGGTAAACGAATCGTCCTGGCTGCATTTCAGTGCAGACGAGTGAGTAACGTTACTCGATAACATGCTCCTTGAAGGGGGTGTGTTCATAAGACTGTCAAGACACCTTTATTATCATGATATGACACATGTAACGATTATTAAATAGATCTCAAAAGAGTTATAACACTGTAAATGCAACAATTTTTTCAAAAACATGTCATGAGGTTATTATAATATTAATAATTCCTTACATTTATATAACTTTAGCGTTTTTCAGGACACTTAAAGCACTTTACACAGTTTTGGAGGGAATCTCCTCATCCACCACCAGTTATAATTGTCACAAATACTTTTTTTCAGTGGAACAAACTGTATTTGTCGTTAAAAAAATCTTTAAAACTGTCATTACTACTCAATTTATAGCAGTCTTATTAATATTTAATGACACTTCTATAATGCCCTCATGACAGTGACAGGTTTAAGTTATGCTGTCACAAGTTAAAGATGTTAATTACAAGATTGCTATCTTGGAAGTGTCAAGTCGTCAACACAAAGACATCTCAAAAAAATGTCATCTTTGCACTTAAAGTGACGTTACCGAGTGAATGACACTTAATGACATGTTATAAATGACTTTAAGACACTCAATGTTGTCAAAAGCATGCAAAAAACAGATTAATATTCATTTGTCACTACTAAATATAAGTGTTTCAGGACTCCCTGTTTTATGAACTCCCCCTTCAAGTAAAGCATTACCCTGTTCTCAAATAATTACACTCGAACATTACAGTCAAACAATCAACTGAATGTCTGCTAATCTGCTTGTGTGTAGTGAACAGCACATCTGCCCACTGCAGAGGAGAGAGCAGGCTTTACTGTGTGAGCTGGATTTATCACCGGATGTGATTTTCTCCGATGTGGACACTTACAGGATCTCCTTCCATTCTGCTCACCAAGATGTCGTACTGGACGAGAAGTTCATGCCATGTAATCACAGTAAGAATGAGCGTACTCAAGTTAGTTTGGGTTCGATGTGTATTGCAAGGAGAAGGCTTATAAGTATCATACTGAATTAGTTTTTTTTATTAAGTAAGGATGCACAGAGTTTTCTGTGAGGGTTGGAAAAGAGTGATAGAAATTAAAAGTTGTATACAGTATGAAATAGAGATGCGCGGATGGGCTATTATTTCATCCGCAACCGAATCATAAAACTCATCATCCGTCCGCCATCCATCCGCACTAACATTTTTGACCAATTTTTAAAACCGCACCCGCCCGCCATCTGCTGACTGAGCTCCTTATTTGAATGGCTTATTCCTTTTTATTATTAAATGAATGTTTCTTTATTAATTATTAGAAAATAGAGAATGACTTTAATGACATGCAGTTAATCCAAACGTGCAAGTCAAATCCAGCATTTATTGACGCTTTGAAGTGACGCTAAGCAATACGAGGACGTGTCTTTTCACTTGATTCGATTCCTCGGTCCTTGAGTTTTTTTTTTTTGCGTCCTTCCCTCCCATCCTATAGGGGTGGGAAGACAAGGAAAGAAAACCAGGGAAGGAAACGAGGGATACACAAATAGGAAATGAGAAGCACCCTATAAACCTCTCAGAATATCAGCAGTGAACTCCGTCTCCAATCGGTGCACTGGGACAAAAATAAATAAATAAATAGCCTAAATGAAACGCACTGTACTGTACAATTTTTTTTTATTATAGTAGCCTAATAGAAATCGCATTTTGACACATCATTTCAACATTCAGACGAGAGCGCCTGGCCTCTAATGCGCCCTGCTGCACTGAAGGAGAGCTCGCTTGCAGCACTTGTTGCTGGAATGCATAGAATTCTCTTGGCAAAGTGCTGTAGACGTGGGAATGACTGCCTTGTTTCTCCCAAAAGGAAAGTAGATTTTCCTCTGCTGATCCGTCTATTCTTAATTTTGTAGAGGAAGACTTCTGTACTTCATCCAGAATTAGTGTATCCGATTCCTCCTCTCATTCTGTGAAGTCAGACCTAGGCTTTTTCGTTGGTGCCCCAGCTATGTGTACAAAAACAGTACAACCGCCCACCACCCGCCCGAATTTGATTAAAATATTATTTTTCGTCACGTCATCCGCCCGATCCGCAGTTTATCCGCGGATTCCGCGGCTGTAACCGCCATCCGCGCATCTCTAGTATGAAAACAACTAGCGATGCCCTGATGAATATCTACCGATAGCGAAACTCGATCCGATACTTCTATAATACATTAAGAAAGAATAAAGAAGAGCGAAGAAACAGATCCAGAATGGATCCAGAACATTCAACAACTCTGTTAACAAACTGAGCACTTCTGTTAGCTAGCTTGAACTATCAAGTAATAAATAACAAATTCTTCACTTTTGGAGTTCAGTGCAACAGTAAATCTAATATGAAAACAAAGAGCACCTCAACTTAAAACACCTGGCAGGCAATCGCAAGTTTACATCTCAGTTTTCAACAGTATGGCAATGTTGTCCTCATCAACCTTATAATACCTCTAGTCCACAGACATACTCGCGCTTTCCGCTTCAAGCTGCTTCCGGGTTCTACTTTGGACCATTTAACCAATAGCGTCTCTGCAGCAAAGTGATGTCATGCTGCGCGCATTGCTGTTTCTGTGTGAAGTTAAGAAAGAGGTCTAACTCTGTGCCACCGCATAACTATAAATGTGTTAAAAAATTATGAGAATATATACATACTAGGGATGTAACGGTATCAGAATTTCACGGTACGGTAATACCTCGGTATGAATGTCACGGTACGGTATTTATTGAATCATTTACAGGAAAAAAAAACTTTTGAAAATACTCCAAAAAAGTGCCAAAAGTGTCAATGACATACAAATTAGCCATCTATCTGTTAGCTTTGAAACAGGAACTTCAATTTTAATAACAAAAAATTATTAAACCATGTAAAAAAAATAAAGTTTCAATTTAGTATTGTTAAAAACTCATCACATTTAACATTTAATCACTCACTTAGATAGAGATGGGTTTAAAGGAAAATTATCATATAACTATAATCTGGTAAAAGCTGGTATCTCTGGGTATTTACAATGTCCCCTGCAACAGAAAAAAACCCTCTCATTTGGGACTGAGGTTTCTGGGACAAGAGAGATATGACTTGGCCCATGTTGACAGCAGTGGGGTAACGTTGTGCATTGTCTTTCCCCCACTTGAGAGGACAAACCATGAGTGAGATAGAGATCTCTTTGCGGTACAAGTCAATGTCTGCATCAATCTGAACAGTGTGCTGTGTTTCTGCAGTCCCCATGACTGTTATTAGTCGTATTCCCCAACTTGCTGGCACGTGCACACATAGGGCTCAACCTTTGCAGTGCACATGCCCTTTTTAGTCTTGGATAGAAAATGCCCTTCCAAAACGATCAAAAGTGCCCCCGCGACGCGACACAACCTCCGTCCAGTCCAGCCCTTCAGTAGGCGCGCGACAACACCTCTCTTGAGTATGCGCGCTCAACCCCCCCTCGGCGCTTTACAATACGCGCGCCACAACACAGCTGATCAGAACGCGCGCGACAGCACCGCTATTCAGCACGCGCGCGGCGACAACACCCGCTTTAGGTTCGATCATTTCCATCTTTTTTTCATCTCCGCTACTAGCAGCACACTCCATTTCCGCATTACTGGATCTGTAGCGACAACAGACCGCAAAGGATTATGGCCACGCCGGGGCTGATGGGAAATGAAGTTTCAGCTACCTCCCGTTCGCTTCATTCGCCTGAGCAAATTTTCTCAGAAGACCTATAGTTTTACCGAGTCATACGACTTCGGTAATATCGAAAAAATTTAATATTGCGGTATGACGGTATTTACAATACCGTTACATCCCTAATACATACATACATATATATATACATATATATATATATATATATATATATATATATATATATATATATATATATGTAACAGTGGATGTGACGCTGACAACAGTGTGAGGATCCTTATGCAGGTCTTTATTGACAGGATGGTCAAACAAGCAGTGGTTAAAACAGAAACAAACAGATGTATATGGGCAATCTAGAGTCGTAGTTATAAAAGCAGGCAAGTGGTCAAAAGGCAGGCGGCATACAGGGACAATCAAACAGAACCAAGCAAGATCACACAAGGAAATGAAAGCAAGGGGAAACTGTCGTAATGTTCACTTTACAGCTTACAAGACTCAGCAACATTGTGTGTGTTTGTGTTGCTTATGTAGTGCAGTAATCAGTTCAAAAGCAGCATCAGCTGTGAGAGTCTAATCTGTGGAGACTTGGAGCAGGTGTTTGTGTGTGTGTGTGTGTGTGAGTGTGTATATAAAAATAAGGCATGAGCCGGTATAAGATTCTGACCGTGTGATAACCTTGGATATAAATATCACGATTTCGCGGTATCACGGTTTTGTGGTTACTGCTCTAAAATATATTGTTTTTAAATGTCTGGGTTAAAAACAAAACCTTTTTTAAAACATTTAAAATATTTTGGAGCAGTAAACATGTCAGGCTAAATAATTCAAAAGATTAATTGACTTCTGCTGTTTTCATGTGTTTCAAAAACAGATTTTTTTACAATTATTACAGCATATTTGGAGATCTTTTCTGCTGGAGATACTGTTGTCCTAAAACAATTTTGACGGTTTCAAAACCTTGACTTTCCAAACCACTGTATACCTTAAACACAGTTATCGTCCCCTGCCTAATATATATATATATATATATATATATATATATATATATATATATATATGATGTCTGTGTGTGTGTGAGAGAGAGAGAGAGAGAGAGAGAGAAAAA